ACTCCCTCAACCGGTGTCACATCGTGCTGATTCTGGTCTTCAGATTGTATCGATTGGGTCTGGACTGCATCAACCGGTGTCACATCGTGCTGATTCTGGTCTTCAGATTGTATCGATTGGGTCTGGACTGCATCAACCGGTGTCACATCGTGCTGATTCTGGTCTTCAGATTGTATCGATTGGGTCTGGACTGCATCAACCGGTGTCACATCATGCTGATTCTGGTCTTCAGATTTCGTCAACTGCGTCTGGATCGCGTCAACCGGTGTCGTGTGGTGTTGGCTCTGCGCCGCTCGTAGAGCCCCCAGCACGAGGTCAGCGTCAGGATGTGGCGGAAGTCTCCCTCTCCAGTCCAGACCATACTCATCCTGCAGGTGACGACCCAACCTGGACAAAATTGAAATATTCGTTTCCCCACAAACTTTTCAGCACTCTAAAAAGGGAGATTTTTACCCCAAACAATTGGGTATATTTCACGTAGCTCGTTTTACCATTGTCAGCAATCCGAAATAACGACTCTTTGCCTGTAGGGACTTCTCACTGGAAACCGAACTACCTTACTTCTCACTAACATCGTTTAGGACACCTCCCAAATCAGGACATCAAATATTTCACGACACAACCAAATCAGGACGCCTCGTCAGAACACCTCCCAAATAAAGAACACCATATTGTGTAATACCTAGTAACAGCGTCTTGAGCCAGTGGGACAGTACCGTCCAGTCTGAGACAGAGATGGTAGTCCATGTACGCTTCTTGAAATCTGTGGCAATGAAATTACTAACGCGCTAACTTTAGAACACACGGCCGCAGGTTTGAGAACACACAGAGAGCACCAGAGGGCTGGGTCATGCCAAGCAGTGAAATATAATGAAATTACTAACGCGCTAACTTTAGAACACACGGCCGCAGGTTTGAGAACACACAGAGAGCACCAGAGGGCTGGGTCATGCCAAGCAGTGAAATATAATGAAATTACTAATGAGCAAACCTCGGTGCAAAAGGAACACAAAGACAGTAAACCATGATTAATACGAAGTAATGACCAACTTTTCTTTCATCTCGTAGGCGCATGCACGTCGAAGGACTGCCTTGTGGTTGAGAGGAAGGAGAGAGATGGAGCGAGAACAGTCACTGATGGTGCTGTTACACTGTCCAGTCTTCAGGGAACAGGCGGCTCTGTTGTTTAGGAGGGTTGCCAGGGAGACAGAGTGTTCCCCTCCCTCGTTTTCTAGGTTTCCCAGTGAGAGGAGGTGGGAAGGGACGGACGGAGAGAGAGGTGAGTGGGAGGGGGCAAGGAAAAGTTACAGTTACAAAAAGGGAAATACAGTCCTACAGAGATATACAGTGAAACTCCTCTAATCAGGACACCAATAGGAGAAGAAAGTGTCCTGATTAGAGCGGTGTCCTTATTTCAGGGGTTGAATTGCATGCAAGAACTGTTCTTGGTAAAAGAAAAGGTGTCCATATTAAAGAGGTGTCTTCATTTCATTGGGTGTCCTAAGAGAGGGGTTCCACTGTAAATCATGAGTATAATATACACCGCCCGCCTACATCCCAACACCCCGCACTCCCGAGTCTCATATTAACTTGTCTAATAATGAAATATTCTGTGTCATAATGTTCGAGAGCAGGAATTGAAGAGAAAGAGGGAGTGTAGAAAGTCTGACAAAGCTTCTGTTTTTTTGTCTGTACCTTGTTCAAGTTGGGAAACAGCCTTGCTGTACTTCTCAGACGCCGCTGCGTACTGCCCACTACGAAAGAGTCTGTTCCCCTCTTCTTTCAGTCGCTGGACCGCAGGGGGGAGGGGCACTCGGGCCACAGGGGGTGTGGCTTGGGTAGGAGTGGGTGTGGCCTGTGACTGAGTGGGTGTGGTCTGGACTGCAGGACTGGGCAAGTCAGAATTGTGCGAGGACAAGTCTTGACCAACTGGTTTTGTTGATGTTGAATCATCAGGTGCCATTTTCCCCGGGAGTTTCCCGCCGGATGGACCCCCCGACCTTTTGCTATTTCCGCGACTTTTCTCTCTTCTCGCGTCCGCGGCTTTTTTCGCTTTTACCTCAGCCGAGAGCTTGTCCATTTTCTGTTTCAATTCCAGGAATCTCTTCATCTCCTCTTTACTGACCGATCGTCTCTCTCCCCTCCTCTCCTCCTCCTCCTCCCTCCCCTTCCCACACCCATCCACTTCCACGATGTGAAGCCTGTTTTTCTTGAGGAGTTTTTCGCCGGCCGGTCCTCTCGCCTCGTGCCTCGCTCGGAGAATTTTCAACTGGTCTTGGGCCCTCTTGTTGGACGGTTCCAGTTGCAGCAGTCGTTCGAAATCGGCCATCGCTTCGTCGTCTTGTTTCAGACTGCTCCTGGCTGTTGCTAGTCTGAATAGGGCTGGGGGAGAAACAGGCGAGAGAGGGGAAAAGAGAGGGAGGTTTTTAAGATGTTGAAAATTTGGGCAGAGCAGGACCGACTGCCAAAATTACAACTTAAAGGGAAGGAGGCAGTCTGTATGTGTATATATCTGAAAATGGGACTAAAATAAGAGAAATTTGATTGCGCATGTCCCCGCATGTTTTTTAGTTCCATCTTCAGTAGCATTTTAGCCCTAACATGTACTGCCACATTCAATCAATAAAAGACACTTCCCCCCTTTCCCCTCTCCCATGTGTCACATGTGCCAACAATGATGTAGTAGAAAGGCAAGGAAGGCAAACCAAAATACCTTTGACATTGTTGGGATCTTCTTCCAAGACCTTCGTGCAGTCCTCTACGGCCTCCGAATTCCTCTCCAGTTTAATGTACATGAGAGCTCTGTTGTTGTAGGCAGCAATGGAGGGACGCAGTAGGAGACTGTGGGAGTAGTACACCACTGCCTCCTCGTAGTCTCCTGATCTGAACGACTGACGGGGGAAGAGGGGTTGGGTTGGCAAGTGAGCGAAAGTAATTGGCTTTAAAACCCTTTGCACGCCATGGTGATCTGCTTAAATAACCAGATAGTGATGTATAAAGTATTAGTGCCTACTAATATCAATTCTTATGGACTTATGGAGGCTCTGGACACATTTTATGTGTCCGTGGCTGGTTAGTGTTAAAAAGGTTCTCCTTTTTAAAAAAAATCCACATCAACATTCTCACAAGATAGAATGATACCAGTATTTTAGAAATCTCACCTCGTTCCCTTTTTCCTTCTCGTGAATGGCGAGTTTGTTTCTCTCAACGTCAGTCATATCTCTCTCTGTCGACATATTCAGTGTATACGAGAGTATAGAACAGTTCATACGCACACATACGTACAACATTTATATGTACCAATGCTTGTGCTCACGTCAAGTGTAGGACACTGTTGCACATACCGTAATGTTTCATCAAGTAATTCATGAAGCGGGATTGAATTGTCTGCCGCATGCGCTTGCTCGCCAAAAACGTGTTTCGTACGTTGTAGTACGTATGTATGTATATTTCGTGTGTGGAAATATCTTGCTCTTACCACTCTCGGATAGTTCAACTGGAACAGAAGTCTTCCCTGCCACTCCGTTACACCTGACCTTCCTCTCCTCCTCCTCCTCTCTCTCTGCCTGTCTGTCCACGTGGTCCGCCGCGGTGTCGGCATCGAACTGATCCCATGCCCGGAAATCGCTGGACTTGATCCTCTGAGACGGCGTCTTGGACTTCACCGAGGTAGGATTCTTTGGAGACGACTGAAAATAACACATTGATTTTAGTATATACCTACAGTGGAACCCCTCTAATCTGGACAATAATGGTGCAGACTAAAGTGTCCATATTACTAGATGTCTTTATTTCAGCAAGAACTGTTGTTTGGAGATATGAGGTGTCCTTATCAGGATTATATGAACTTTTCTTTCTGGCAAATAGCAGTGAAAACCACCAACGGTAGCATCCTAGGAAAGATGCTACTCTACTACTTCAGAACTACCAAGCGGTTACCACAGTACACAGAAGCTGCCTCAGTTGCCAGGAAGTATGAATGTCGTGTAGTGTTAGCAGGTACAGGGGGAAATCCCAGGGAATTTCCCCCTGTAATGTACTACCTTGCTGTCAGCTATGGTTCCAGCTTTCCTGATGGGAGGCAAGCCTAGCCCACGCATGATCTCTCCCTCCCTTTCTCTCCCTCTCTCTCCCTCGCAGTGGTTCAGGGGGGCAGATGATGACAGGGATGACTCTTCCTCCCGCATTGTCTGAGACCAGGACTAGGGAGATGAGAGAGAGGGAGATGAGAGAGGGAGAGAGAGAGAGGGAGAGGCCAGGGAGAAATAGAAAAGATGGGAGGGAAAAAGAGAGCACAACTTAAATGTACGGGTGTGATAGGACAATGCAATAATGCACACACTGAACACGATAGGCATGTCTCCTATTTCAGCAACTTGCGTAGTTTGTCTGGTATGTTGGCCTTAGTAACAGTCACGCAGAAGTACATTATGATGCAGTAAGAATGCATGGTTATGTAGATGTAGTAAGATTCTGACGCATGTAACCACGACACACAAAACACTGATATTGAAAGTTGTGCGACAGTGTTCACAACTGTACACGAATGTTATAAAACCATTTTCTTGTAAGAGAGGCGGACAACACACCTCCATATCATTCTGGAGCTCTTGTTGCTCGAAACCTGGGAGGTCCGTAACCTTCTTCTTTCTTCCCTCCTCCACCAGCAGCTTGCTGCCTGGGTCCAACTCTGACAGCCTTTCGCTCGGTGAACGCCACTAGATCTGGATACAACCCCTCCTTGCCCGACCTGTGGGGTCATTTCATTATACAGTGCAACCGCTGAAAAAAAGGGGACTATATATCCGAATGAAGGACTAAAGGACACTCGATTCTGCCCCGTACTAATACGTTAGTGTATTATATTACCTTTGAAAAAGGTACGCATCTGAATAAAGGACATTTTCTATGTTCACTTATTCAGAGGCTTCACTATATCATGTTGGGAGGAGGATAGAAGGGAGGGAGGGGCATACAGACGATATATCTGCTTAGCAAAAGAGAAGACAGCCCTGCAGGACTGGGTTAGGGTGTGTTGCTACAGTGGAAGGTGTTGTGTGGACTTGCCTGAGGATTTGCAGGATTTTTTCGACTTCTTTCGCGTCCCCGCACTCGCCCACGTATCCGTAGTCGAGGTGTTCCACGGGGATGTCCGTACCGGCTGCCAGGCCAAGGTTCAACCCTGTAGCCATTGCTTTCTCTTCCCTCCACCGCCAAAAACTTCCAAACTGCTCAGTCAGTGTTGCTCTGTACTTCGATCCGCCGTTGTGCTCGCTAGCTGCGCTCCATTTAGAAAAAAACGCGCCCCAATTTCCGTAAACGCCCGTACACTACACCTGAATCAAAGTGAAACCGAAAAAAATACTGCTAGCTATTATACATAATTGTTCTGGTTCTTCCTGGTAAGATGGCTGCCTCCTCCCCATATCTCCTGCTTCTTGATATTTTCTTCTTCCTCCTTTTTTGTCCTCTCCTCCAAGATGACTTGTGAATGTGAAGAGGTTGCTTCACAAAACGCGGCAGTGGCGCCATATTTAGCTTCCATTGTTTGTTCTAGCATACTATGTGAGTTTCAGACGAGTAGTTTTGGTGTGTAGCTACTAGTAGTACGTGTTTGAGTCAAACCTGAATATTTCCAAAGCGAAGAAAATTATATCGATTTTTAGCGGCTGCCAGCTGATGATCGTGAGTCTTCGTGATAGCTGTACTGGCCACCTCTGCTTTTCCCCCTCCCTCTTCCCCTTCCCCTCCCTCTCCCCCTCCCCCTCCCTCCGTAGTACTCTCCTGGTCTCGAATAATACTCACTCCCCGAATTGTACTTTTCGCTCGAGTACCGCGGCACGTCGTACTTGTTGCTGGACTCGTCTTCCCAGTTTGTGTCTGCGCGGTGGTTTTGAGGAATTTCTGCGATTCCCTAGCATCTGACCGTTGTTCACGAGGTCTCGGTGTATAGATCACTCTATCAGGTCGTCTATGGCCACCCCCTCGATCCCTGGCTCCCTTTCCTTCCTTGATAACGGGTCCCGTGACATGTCCGTTTTGGTGGACATCATGTGAGCTGCTCAATCCGGCCCCTTCTCCCCCTCTCCCTCTCTTCTCCGCATGTTCAGCGTCCATCTTATAGTCACTCCGTCCAATTTCCACGGACTCTCCCCCCTTTGTCCAACCGTCATCTTTTCTCCTTTTCTTCCCTCCTCTCTCGTCCAACTTCTTCTCTCTCCTGCCTCCAGCCCCGCCCACATTTCCCTCTTTCGGGTCTCTCTCCCTCCTCCCCTTCTTCCTTTTCTTTTCCACTACAAAGACCTGCTTCTTTTTCGCAAATTTCGATCCACTTTTCTTGTTTCTCAGGTACGTTATGAGCGGAGTGACTTGCACCTCGGCGATCTGACTTGCCTTGTATTCTTCCAAGTATGACTCGAGATCAATAGACGACATGCTGGTCACCTTTTCGTCCCGACTTTCCAGGAAAGCTTTGTAGTCTCCGTCTTGTTCGATGGTACCGCAGCGAGCGTCCGGCTTCTTACGAGGCTTGGGTACCGCTTGAAACGGCGAAAACTCGATGAGGGTCGCGGTACTTTTGCCCTCCGCCGCTTTTCGACTCCAAAACCATGCCGTCGAACTGGTCACGGAACGTCAGGATGGCGGACTCGTCAGTAAAGTTGACGTATGCTCGCGCGCAGCCGTTCGGGCCGAACTCCGGATCGCCGGGCGCGAAGTAGAGATAGTTGAAACTGCCTTCGGGTAGACCCGGAGAGAACGCCTCCATAAATGCTTCCTGGTCAAAGTCGGGCGGTAGATGGCGGACCACGACTTTTGTCTGGTGGAGTTCCCTCTCCACACGCTTAGAGACCCTCTGCTCGGCCGCCATTACTCCTGCCACGTCGGCGAAACTCTCTGGTCCTCCCACCACACCTCTTCCAAAAGTTCTAGGGGGGTGGGGATTAATTAGAATTCGCGCACCGCCCACATCACGTGAGCGCGAACCGCTCGCGCACGTGTGTTTGTTGGTCGGGCCGGGAAAGTGGTTCTCTCGAGGCAAAAACTGCAGAAGAAAATGCAGCACATTTGCTCGTCTTTCCTCCTTACCTCGGCAGGTGCTTCTACGAGTCAAAATGCAGCCGTATTCGTCGTGTAATTCACGTGCATCTCCGTAATCTATGCCCTCTTTCTCCGCAGCCCTACTACTGTGCCTGTCTACAGTAGATGCCGAGGCGCTCTCGGACGTGTTCTCGCCGCACGACATCACTAGGATTAGGTATGAGGCTGTGAGTGCATGACGTCGTGAATGTATAGAACCTTGTGTTGGTTGTAAGGCAAGGCAAAACACCAAGGACAATAAAAAGTGCTGCCCTGGGTGGGATTTGAGCCCAAGACACACTTGTGTTAGGCACAGTACTTACCCTGCTGGCTACCAACAAGTAGAACGCAGTTCATCACTATAGAGCACTCCTGTAATGTTTCTTGTGTGTGCAGGGATCTATTGCTGTCAACGGAGCCGTATGGCGAGTTGTCGACTCCCTATCATGTCCTGAGAGGATTGCAGGCGCTCGGGACCAGCTCTAGTGAAAATAAAGATGGGGTCAGCTCTAGATTAGAATATTCTCGTAACCCTTCTTTTCCCCCGGTTTATTTCTTCTGTTCTCACTTCTTGTCTCTTCCCTATCTCTTTGCCAATTTGCTCCACTTATCTCTTTTATTCCCCCTCTACTCCGCCCCATCGCTGTTTTTGACACAGTTCAAGAGGAACGCGTGTGCCTACGCATTATCCCACATCGATACTTCGTCAGACCTTCAATCTCTCTTCTACATCTCCTCCATTGCTGCCGAGCTGGGCAGTTCTTGTCTTCCCGACGTCATAAAAAAGAAGTCTCACATACAGTCCGTCGTTTCAGACGCTCTAGAAACTGAGCAGACTATGGAGAAATTGTACTATTCGACTTCCATCAGCACTAATCTGGGACTTGACGGTGAGTTTGTACTGTTATTCCAAGCGTTATGTCCAGTATGGAGAGTGGCAAACTTTAGAAGGAGAGCATCTGGCAAACAGACAGAAAATGTGTAATGTGTTCTGACTTATAAAAGTAGTGTGTTTCGTGGTTACCATGTACTGTTTTCTGTTCAGTGAACAGTGAGAGTGTGCTGGCATCCATTCTGACCGCATTGGACGACGATGAAACCATCCAAAAGTGAGCCAATCACCCGCCTTGCCCCTTTCATTTACCCCTCTCTTTCTCCTTTTACTCTTTGTCATTCTTTTTGCCGTCAGCACTGCGCTAGCATTCCTCACAGCTTCTCAACTCCCCGACTTTGATCTTACTGCCATATATGAACTCGTCGAGGTTAGCTCCGCCCACTCCATTTGTTGCCGTAGCAACCCTTAATCAAATCGTTTCTATGGGTGACACTTGTTTCAGGACGTTGTGGCACAAGCGGATGAAACTCCCACCACCTTATATGTGAGTTTTAGGATTAGTATGCCTCAATGATTACCTAAAGTAGTGGCCTGAAATTGAAAGTGAAAGTCTCTGTCTACCAGAGACAGTATGTGGACACAATCCGATCATGAGAGGCACTAGTCAAAACCTGTAAAACTGGTTTTGTCACAATTTTGAGCACTGTTTCGTCTATGTGTGTACAGTACGATAGTCTTGAAACCACGTCAAATGTTATCACTGGAATCTTTGCCATGGCAACGAAAACTGGGGAGGCTCCTGCAATTACATCAGTGAGTTCCTTTTGTGCTGCTGTACTGATTACATCATGGGTAAATTTCTAAAAACAGGAGCAGGCTACTAAGTTTGGCAACTACCTCCTCACCAACACGTACACAGTGGACGTCGCTCGTCTAGCGTACGTCTTGGCAGCTGCAACTGCACTGGACAGGAACCAGGTGGGGAAAAATCAGAGCTGTTGGAAATTTTTGTAGAAGAAATCTTGTTTTCAAAAAATATTTTGTGCACCTGGTTTTTTCCGTCCCCCCATCCCGTCTCTCCCTCTCACGTTCGCAGTATGTAGTTCCTTGTTCTCTTCTTCTGACTTCCTCGGGTTACGTCAGCCGAGCTAACCCAGACATTCAAGTGAGTCATTTAAAGTCATGTGAGGATCACGTGATCGTCACATGACTGTCGTGTGACAGGTCCGCCTGGCTACCATACTGGGCTCCCCGCCGCCCACGGAGTTCACGGTCACCGTGATGACAGTGACACACCAGGAGGGAGATGAAACCTTGCCAAAGAAGAAACTGAAATCTAAAAAGTGAGTTTAGTATATATATATACATAATATGTCTCTAATATGAAGACACCTCTAATGAAGACATGTTTTCTTTCCCTAAGAACTGTTTTTGCAACCCTGAAATAAGGACACTGGACTAATGTGGACACTTTCTGTCCCATTGGTGTCTGGATTTGATGGGTTCTACTGTACTTTCCCTCCTCCTCTTTTTCCGCAATAATGAGCATGAATGTTACAAAATGAGCGATAATACAACTGTGTGCCACATTTTCTCTCTCTTCTCCCTCCCTCCCTCCCTCTCTGCTCTCTGCTCTCTTCTCTTTCCTATTCAGCGGTCTATACAGCTACAACCTCTTCCAAGACGTGTCGTCTCCCGGAGTCTACACATTAACCTTCAGGTGCAGATATAGATGAAATTTAGCTGCAAAATTCGATTCAGCTGTATATATGAATGTGCTGGCTTTAGCACACTGGCTGGCAGCGTTTGCAATTGCGAAGCATTTTTGTAAACTGAGTTTAATGGTAATTTTTTGGTTATGCTGATTCTCTTTCCAGCACTGAGTCAGTGGGTGGTTCACCGGTCGTGAAACTTACCGAGACTCCCGTGAGTGCACTTAGTGTTTAGGACATCCTGAAATACAAATAGCAGGACAACCTAGAGAGGTGTCCTAAACTTTCAGGACAATGTTGACGATGTGTTTTGGTTCTGCAGCTACAAGTGACGGTCAGCTTCGAGGTGACGATAGGCTCGGCAGAACTGTCTCTCAGCGATCGCGAACACGGAACCACCGCCAAGAAAATCAGGTTCCCACGTTTTAATACTCGGGTGTCGGGTTCTAATTCACATTCCCGTGTCTCCGTTACCCCGTTCCGGCAGTTTGGAGTACCCCAACTCCAGTAAAGAGACGTTGGAGGCTGACCAACACTCCAAGGTTGTCATGAAGTTCACTCTGATCGACAAGGAGACAAAGAAATCGGCACTAGTCCATCAGGTCCGTATTCACGTCCCCATAACCTTCATACTTATCTTGGTCCTCGGTCTCGAAATCAGTATCTTCAATAAAAGAACTGGAACACCTAATCAACGTAGTGTGCATTCGTTCGTAGACAGCTTGTGATGCCCAAAAATGATATAGATGTGGAAAATAAAACGTACAGGAAATTTAAATCAAGTCATGAAACACATTTGATGTGCAACACCCTTTGTTTTCCTGCTGCAGGCATTTGTTCGCCTCACTCGAGGTCAACACGAGATATTCTTCGTAGCCACTGCAAACAAGAAGACTCTGCAGTACACGTTTGAGCTGGACATGGTAACAGCTGCCGAGGACTTTGGCAGTCTCTCCGGTTCCTACGCCATGGTGAGCATGGGTGTATGGGTGTATTGAGGTGTGAATGTATGGGTGTATGGAGGAGGTATGGGGTATGGGTGTATTGAGGTGTGAATGTATGGGGTTATGGATGTATGGAGGTATGAATATTATGGTGTATCGAATGAATGTATGGGTGTATGAGGGTATGGATGTATGAGTATGGAAGTATGGGTCTTCTGTGGCTCTGTTTACAGTCACTGATAGTCGGAGACTTTGCCCTCGAAAATCCGTTCTCGTGGGATATTGTAAGTTAGACCACTCTAAAATTCAGTGGCAGAAGAGTTAAAATCCCTGCTATATAGGGTTCAGTCTCTCTCCTGTTTGCGGGGTCAACCACAGATACGGGAGACGAAGACTACACTTACAGAGCGAAACCAGAAATTCAGGTGATGTTTGCACCGCATCACTCAGATTATGTATGTATATGTATGCCTCAATGATTACCAAAAGTAGTGGCCTGAAATTGAAAGTGAAAGTCTCTGTCTACCAGAGACAGTATGTGGACACAATCCGATCATGAGAGGCTCTTTACATACTGTATACACCTAGCCTTTTAACAACGCTTTTCGAATTTCATTTTCGCCTTTTCTGTTGCAGCACATGTTCCGACTGGAAGAAAAGCTACCTCCAAAAGTTATCTCTTCAACATTCACAGTTCTCGTCCTAAGTCCCCTCGCACTCCTCCTTGTCTTGGTAAATTTCAGCAATGCACTAATAAGTTTTAACTCTCTCCCACTCTTTGCATTGTGTGAGCAAAAGAGCTTGTTTTAGCTGATCAATTTTAGTAACACTGACAAATTTTATTCGTCCTTTCTGAAAAGTTATGAGCACAACTGCCTTAGATAATTTAGTAGCACAGCTGCCTTTTTTCAGAAATGGGGCTCTTTTTTCCCTCCATTTTCTGCCCGCGGCCGTGCAATAGAAACACATGTGCCACCTCTCCACCCAGAATAGTGCATCTCACACTACAATCCTGGACTTGTGGTGGACTACATATATATTCAAAACTTTCGGCTTTCACAAATTTTTTCTTGTTCTTTTTTTATTTGCTCACTTTGAAGTTGTACTGGCTGTATATGCTACGTATGTAGGTCGTGTGATATTCACACAACTGTTCTCATGTGAAAATCATGTGACTTTATGCAAGGTTATCTAATCCTCAGTGGGTGGGTATTGGGTTCAATGTGTCGGGACTTGGAACCGGTGGCTTGTGGGCCGTCATGTTCCACATCAGTCTAGGAGGTAAGATTGCTGCAGTGTCAGATTTTTTCCTCATCTTTCGCTGTCCTTTTCAGGAATATTTGTGGTTTACTATCTGTTCTGGTTGAAACTGGTGAGTATTATATACGCACGCCTCTAAAGGACACTGTTTTTGTGTGGTGCTAATACTATAATGTGCCATTTTACATCTGCAAAAAAGCAAAAAGTATTATTACCCTTTTTTGTCGCAGAATATGTTTGATACTATGAAACTCCTTGCTCTGCTGAGCGTTCCAACTTTCCTCGCCGGAAACAGGATGCTGAAACGCATCGCCAGCAGCAACCAGTGAGTCAGCTAAAGCAGTCTTCCGGAACAATCTTTTTTTGACTTCTCCCCACACCCTCTCCAGGAGTGCGTCTTGAAGTTTTGTCGGGTCGAATCAATCAACTGGTAGCTGAATCTCTCTTCATATGCAGTCGTACCAGCTCTGTGCATTCAATGCATGGACGGTGTACTTGTGTATGGAGTGTATGTGTTATAGTCTTACATGAAAATTTTTTCAAGATTTCCAAATAACGCGCTCTTGCACGCCGGTCAGCGAAGTCGGCGCGCGCTGTTAGGACGATGTGCGCATGTGCGATAATATCGGTGGGCGTGGTCGCCTCAACGCTGCACGCTGACCTTGAGAAGAAGCAGAGAAGACATGTCTGCGCGGTTCAGCAAGCTAGAGGCGGTGGATTTGGCTGACGATGAGGACACGGAGGGAGAGGGGGGTAGTGGGGAAGACTGTCAGGTGGCGCTCGTCCTCCCTGAGGGCGTGAGAAAGGGAGGGAGGGGCAGGAGACTTGTGAACAAGCTTAGAGGGAGAAAGAGACTTGGGTCTTGGCGATGGGTAGTGGTGGCCGTCGTGGCGTTTGCAATCGCCGTATTTGTGGCTCTAATGGTGGCAAGACTAGCAAGCGAACCACCCTCACAAGCTACTGACAATAGTGACAATAATGGAGAACTGCAAGGTATATATATTATATATAGCTACTTCTGATAGGGACACTGTTGTTTGTTGGTGTAGCGGGTGCCGTGGCGACGGACTCTGCCCTCTGTTCGGAGATGTCGGGAGAGATTCTGAGGAATGGAGGCTCGGCTGTCGATGCTGCCATAACTGCTCTCCTGTGTGTGGGGGCAGTGCACCCCGAATCCAGCGGCCTTGGAGGGTAGGTCATGTGACACTCATGTGATCTGACACCATTTGTGATGCACTTGGAACACATAGTTTGTAGTGTATAGTTCGAACTTTTTGAGGCACATATATTATGTAATGTAGGGACGTAAATATTCCCCTATTAGCTTATGGTGTGGTATATAGTAAATGAGACCATGTGACTGTCATGTGATCTCCTACAGAGGTGGTTTCATGGTGGTGTATGATGGTAATGGATCGGCAGCTGCTATTGACTTCCGTGAAACTGCGCCAGCTGCCGCGACGACAGACATGTTCCATTCCAGCCCCAACCTCTCCACCTCCGTGAGCTAGCCATTACATCATAATTACATCGTCATTGTTTTTGGCATTACATCATCGCGATGTCGTGTGTATTAGGGTGGGCTGGCGGTTGCCGTACCCGGAGAGCTGCGAGGAATGGAGTTGGCCCATAGACTCTATGGCAGGTGAAATTTGTGACTGTTTCAGCAAATTATAAGTTTCTTGAAATCGCGAAACTTAAAATGCCGAACGTTTAATGTGCTGTATGCATGATGGATGCCCAGACTGCTACATTTATGTGGAAGGAAACAATTTTAATGTCCTTAAATATTTCCGGCATAGTAGTGTGACTTTAGGCGGATATATATTATAGTCATTCTTAATGTTGCATTGTAGGTTGAAGTGGATTGACCTGTTTCAACCGGTTATAAACCTGTGTAGAACTGGCTTCAACCTTAGCCTCCACACTGGTATAGCAATTCCATACTTCTCTGTCATTTAACAAAGATCTCTTTCTCCCCGAATTTGCCTGCAGAAAAGGCTATCGAACTCCACAAAGATGCCGTGAGAGAAGACAAAATTCTGACCGAACTTTTCGTAGTCAACGGAGAATTGAAAAAAGTGAGGAACACGAAGACATGATATATTTCGCGTGAATCCATCAGAATGCTAGAATGTGGTATTGTGTTGGTGTAGGAAGGGGATGAGGTGAAAAGGAGTAGATTGGCGGACACATTGGAGCTGATTGCCATAGAAGGAGCTGATGTCTTCTACACTGGGGAACTATCACTGAATATCATCAACAAGGTGTATATTATAGTAGCAATGTCCTTAGGACCACTCTGGAACACTCCCACCAGTACCAGTCTGGTATACATGCATAAAATAGACTATTTGGTATAATGTGACTGAATGTTTACCAGGCTCTTGCACTACATTTGCAGTTTTGGAAAGCTCCACCTAGCATCAATACATCAATATTGTCATAATCATTATGACTCATAAAGTAGTTACTAAGTAGGATTTCATGCGTATTGCTGTGTAATATGCATGCAGGTGAATGAGACTGGTGGTATTTTAACCCCTGAGGACCTGGCCAGCTATGCCGCCAATCTCAAAAAACCTCTCTCAACTGAATTCAACGGTATACACACAAACCTATTGGCATACACACCACCTGATATAATGTTACACTGCCTCGGTCAAAATATTTGTCGTGGTGATATTTTTGTTGGATTGCCTATCTTTTTTTCGTCTTTCTACACCCTCTTCGGTCAAAATTTTGTCATGATGATATTTTTGTTGGATTGCCTATCTTTTTTCGTCTGTTTTCTTCCGTCAGGCTACACCCTCTTCACGCCTCCTCCTCCATCTGGTGGCCCTGAGCTTCTTTTTCCTCTCAACGTCCTTTCTCTCTACACCTCCTCCTCCTCCTCTCTTCTTCCTCCTCCTCCTCCTCCTCCTCCTCCTCCTCTTTCTCCCTTGATGTACCATCGAATGGTTGAGGCTTTCAAGTTTATGTTTGCTCTACGGAGCCAGCTCGGTGACACGAAATGTGACGATTGTGACGGGGACGCTGTGTGGAGTGTGGTCGATAATATGACCAGGTTGGTTTGGAGAAATAAGGGAAGGAGGGAGGGAGAAGAAAAGAAGGTGGTACGGCCGTTTGAGAAGTAGGAGAAAGAGAAAGAGAATGTACATAAAACAGAGTAGGAGAAAGAGAGGGAAAAAGAGAAAAACGGAGTAAACAGAAGAGATAAAAGGAGAGAGAAGTAGAGAGAGAGAGAGAAAATTTAAGAAAGGAGTGATGGGGAATTAAAAAGAGAAAGGTTTTGTCGATCTATTCCACAGTATCAACTATGCGGCATACGTGAAGTCACAAATTTCAGACGACACGACGCACAATGTTTCCTACTACCGTGCAGACTATGCCACGCCCCCCAGTGACCACGGGACATCCCACATATCTGTCCTGGGTCCAGACGGAATGGCAGTATCAGTCACCTCGTGAGTCCCCATTCCATTCCGCACTCAACTGGGACCTTCGCCTTATGTACTGTCACATTCCCTATAGAACTGTCTCTCTTTTTTCAGTTCTGTGAACACGTATTTTGGTTCCAAAGTCGTGACAGGGGACGGAGTGATTCTAAATAATGAGATGGACGATTTTTCTTCGCCCAACATCACCAACTCGTACGGACTACGGCCGTCGGAATCCAACTACATATCTCCTGGCAAGAGACCACTCTCTTCCACGTGTCCCGTGGTTGCAGTCAAGGTGGGCTCTAATAAGAACACCCTCGGAACTGTTAGCACACGTGTAGAAAATACCGACTCTAAAAGGATCCTCCGAATAAAACCTTTTTAGCATGTGCATGTACAGTGGAACCTCGAGCCAAAAGGAAAGAGCAGAGGACATTTAACACTTTGAACGCGTTTACCTTAATTATATCATTAGTTAGCTAAGGAATTTAATTAGTACCAACATGACCTGCAACGCTCAGCGTAGTATCTAGAACAAGCGCATTACTCTTTAGCTGCCTGCAAACAATAAAACTTCTATTACCGCACACTGAACAAGCTTCACACACCACTGAAACATACCGTCAGTTCACGCGTTGAAAGGGTTAATTCTCTGCCCCCACATTACCTCTGAATGTATGGGACATCTCTGATGACTCTGAATAAAGAACACTTTTGCAACCTTGTCCCACATACAGAGTTTCCGTTTTTTTCTTCCAGAGATCTGAAAGTGGAGGGACTCAGTACCTCATTACTGGAGCATCAGGAGGCACTAGAATACCAACGTCTACCGCTCAGGGTAAGCAGCTGCTAATTGCACACCAGCTACGTTTCATAGCTGTATATATACAGTGGAACCGCTTAATCCGGAAACCAATGGGAGAGAGGAAAGTGTCCATATTAGTGAAGTGTCCTTATTTCAGGGGTTAAGTGTTCTGTTTCAGGAAAAGAAAAGGTGTCATTATTAGAGGTGTGTCCTCATTTCAGGGGTGTCCTTAGAGAGAGGTTCCACGGTAAAAAAGCTGTCCCATTTTTCTATTCAGTAATATGGAGAGTTCTGTCACTAAATGAACCAATCGATGAGGCCATAGAAGCAAGCAGACTCCATCATCAGCTATTACCTAATCAAGTGCAAGTTGAAGGTGAGGAACACTGCACATGGTACAGTGGAGTCTCAATTATAAAGAACACACTTAGTACGAAATTCTGGATACTACAAACACACCCTTGAGCCTTGCCCTATAGAACACTGTACATTTTCGCCACAAATTTCCCTTACTGTGAACAAATTCTTTAGGTCCCCAGCAATTCCTTATAGCGAAACTCCACTAGCTTTTATTGGCGAGTTAACCTTTACGGCCTTTACTAAGCTGTACTAACTATGGTGAGATGCATTACTATATACATTTTATCCTTCCCCAGCTTCATTTCCCGATGACATCATCACGTATCTAGAGTCCAAAGGTCACAACGTCACTAAAGACTTCAACTATGCAGTGGTACAAGGTGTACACGTTAACGAGGTGGGTGTGGTCTCGGCTCACTCTGACTCCAGGAAACAGGGCCAATCAGTTGTCGTCACATGACAGTCACATGATCATTGCATCATTACATAACGTAGTCACTTCACTTTTCAATTTCAGTACCCATCCCATTTCTATAATTCACGAAGTTGGTTCAATTACAACATGTGTGCATAATATCTGCGAGAGTATAAACACAAATCATTGTTGTCTTTAGCTAAACTGCTGAAATTATCAGTATGTGCAAAATGTACCACAGCTCACACACGTGCACACAAAGTTATATCTCGTCTTCAATTCTCCCTGTCCACATCTGATTGGTGGTTGGGTTGTGTTTCCACGGCAACGTCAGGCACTTGTGTTTCTCCGTCTCCGTGATCCGTTGACGGTCTCATCTTCTCCTGTGAGAGAGAGAGAGAGAGAGAGAGAGAGAGATGCCACAGGATCATAGAGATGCTTAGTTGCTTATAGGGTCTTATATATTATAGTCATCAGAGAGTAAGTATGTATAGATGTGGCTTGTAGTGGCTACATAACAGGTTTATAGTCATCTACAATCTAATGGGGCATGGCTGAGTGGTGTGGTCGACTCCAAGGGGGCGTGGCTTACCCTGAGCGTGGAGGCTCTTTCTTTGATGACAGTTCCTGTCTTCTTAAAGGCAGTGGACGTCTTCTCGCCAATGGCCTTCACCTTCTCATTCTCCCTGGGGGAGGGAGGGAGCAGTTCCACAGATAATATTCGCATGGGAAGTTCACTTCCCATGGATATCCCATTACACAGAGCAGAGGAGATAGTGTGTGAGTGAGTGAGAGATGTATAATACATATTGTAATACTCATCTTTCCTCCTCTAAGTTGTATTTTTCACAATTTTTCTCCCCCAATAAACAGAGTATAGGGAGCAAGAGAGATGTAGGGGATTTAAAAACCTCTTCACTAAGACACCACAGTTCTCCTCCAATAAGGATACACAGCAAAAACAGAGAGAGAGCCTCACTTGATGCGTGTTCCGGCATTAGAGATGGCCCCCGAAGCTTTCTTTGAGCCGTCTGACAGTGTGGTGACCGTCTTCTGGTAGGCGGGGGATTCCTCCACTCTGGACTTCCATCCAGTCAACTTCTCATCCACTTTCCTGTACCTGCCAGCAACGAGAGAGAGAGAAGATCTAGGACAGAAAAAACGAGGATTGAAAAGCAAGAGATGAGAGAAATAGCTGTCCAAAAGTCCCTTTACGAGACAAAGAAGGAGGCGAGAGTTAAAAGAAAGTTATGGGGCTAAATTTTGCATGCACCGTATTCTAGCAAATTTGTCAGTTTTTGCAACTCGAAAATATGGCAGCACTCTATGACAGCTTCAGATCAATACAAATGAGACACATGCTGTCATTCTTGTCAATAATACACTCCTCGTGTCTGATTGAGGATGTCTGCGTGTTTACGCACACTTCAGTTCTGGAAGTTGACTCCCATTGGTACATGCTCACCCCTGTGTGTCCTGGAGGCCGCGAAATTTGCTCCCCACGACCTCCAAGCCGTGAGAGACACTCTGTTTGAACTCCACGTAGGGAGTGATGCCCAGAGCCCGCTTCACCTCCGCCATCTCCACCTCCTTACTCCGCAGCTCCGCACGAAGCTTCTCGATGTCGTCCTGCAGCTGTTGGGTGGCCAGTATGAGAGAGAAGGGATAAAGAGAAAGGTTGGAACCCTCTAAAGGACAACATGACGATGCCTCTCCAATAAGGATATTTTCTCAAAGAATAGTTCTTGCGTGCATTTTAACCCCAGAAACAAGGACACCTCACTAACATGGACACTTTTCTTTGTCTCATTGGTGTCCGGATTAGAGAGTAGAACCATACATACTCGGTCATTCTCACCTACAAGTAAACTGTTCTCTCCTTCTTTTCCTCTCTCTTTCAATCTCTTCTTCCTTCAAATTCTCTCTATGCTACGGTACTGAGCTACTATGCACACTGACCTGCTCGGCTTTAGCCATGAGTCTCTCCCGCTCCATCTCATCCTGCGTCGGGTCGATTTCTTCGTTCCTCTCTCCCTCCCCCTCTTCCTGGTGCCCCAGAGCCGAGGCGTTCGTGAGGCTAGTCGAGCTCTGCGGCTCCTTGTAAGTACCTACGAACGAGAGAAACGAGATTGAAAGGAGAGGAATCTCTAGCGTTAGGCTTCGTAGCTAGGCCTACAGAGCTGCAGACTAACATACCTCCGAACTGGGCCACCTGCGGTTCTTCGTCCATCAAGGAAGACATTGTACTAACAAGTGGGTGGATAGCCAAATCGTTTGCTTGTTTCTCGATTCTAAAGAGTTAGACCTAACACGGGACTTTATACGCACCTCGTGCGATAACTAAAGAACGTGTCCCCAGCTTCCCTTCCGCTGCAGCAGCCAGGAATGGCGATATCGAGAGAAGCCCTGTTTAGTTCCGACTGCAATGTTTGTCACATGATGTGCGTTAATTGAAGTACCTGACGTAATTTACATTACGTAATGTTTAATCTGGGAAGAAAACGTAAAGATGGCGTTGGCAGCAGCGAGAAGAGCGAACGTAAGTCGGTTTTCCCGCCACTATTTGGCCCGTTTAGAGCACTTCACGACCTAGTGTTACGTTTTCTTTCCTTCGCTACCTGCTTTTTACGACATTTTTACCTGTTACCTGGTGGGAAAAGCTAATAATGGGAACACTCTATCATCTTTCTCGTCTGCAGGTTCGTCTGCCGCCCGATGTGAACAGGATACTCTACGTCAGGTAATATTAACTGAAACTGAAACCTGTACTCGAAATCTTGGTAGTATAATTATACAAACGGTGAATGTTTGAATAAATTTAGATGTGAAATGTTCAACTTTTTGTTGCAGAAATCTTCCATTTGAGATATCAACTGAGGAAATGTACGATATATTTGGCAAATTTGGAGCCATCAGACAAATCAGACTGTAAGTGACGCACAAAATAACCCTTTCTTGTGAAAATCTATCACAAACTCTTTCTCTAACTAGGGGAAGTGCAGCTAACACTAAAGGGACGGCTTTCGTCGTGTATGAAGATATTTTCGACGCCAAGAATGCTTGTGAGCACTTGTCAGGATTCAACGTATGCAACAGATATCTCGTGGTGCTCTACTACCAGCCACATAAGGTTTGTGGGGAGAAGGAAAGAGAGGGAGAAAAGATGGGGAGGGGAGAGGGGGAGAAAGGAGGAGAAGAAGAAGAGGGAGAAAGGAGAGGGAGAGAGGGGGGAGATAGGAAAGAGAAAGAAAAGGAGAGATAAGGAAGGGGAACAGAGAGAAGGGAGGGGAAGAGAAAGAGAAAAAAGAGGAAGGGAGAAGTGTGTGTCTGGACAGAATGATGATCTAAATCCAACTCTGAGAATGCCAGATCATTGGCACATGCTGAGATCAAGAGCTATTTCTGATGTCCAATATCACGATGACATAATCCCATGTGATGGTTACCGTAACTGTTCTTAGTAGCATTGAGAGTGATGTCGTTGTGCACTTTGCCCCTTGTGTTGGTGCCCTTTCAATCATGTGATGGGCACTGTCAATGCATGTGACTTGGCAGCTCAAAAAATGTATGCCACTTCCTGCTCTCTTCTTCCCTACCCTCCTTCTCGTAGGCATATCGGAAGATGAACAAAGATCTCAAGAAAGAAGAAATTGAACTTCTCAAAACCAAATACGGCATTGACTTGGAAAAGGACAAGTGATGATGTCATTTTTACATTTCATGATGTAATTGCTTCACATTAACTTTTACCTACTGATTCTGACTCTTTCAGTCGTGTAAAAATGGGCGGATGACCAAATGACAAACAGTTTGTTTCATTAAACCTTTTAACCCCTTCCGCACTAGTCAGGAGGCATTGAAAGAGCGGTGTCGGATTTCAAATTCAAATCCTGCTCGAACCCAATCCTTCGCAGAATCTCACGAGCAGACGTTGGAATGACTGGGTAGAGGAGAATGGAGCTGAGACGAAGAGTTTCCACCACAGCCGATAGAATGGTCTGGAGCCAGGGGTATTGGTCTGGAACCTGGACCAGCATCTTCCAGGGGGCGTGTCTGTCGATCAACAGATTGGCCTGTAGCAGTGGAGGGGGAGTGAAGAGCAAGCAAGAGAGAGAGAACCCCCCTCTCTAATCCAGACACCAATGAGACATAATTAGGGGTTAAATTGGACGCTGAAACAACTCTTGGGGAAATAAAAGGTGTCCATATTAGAGAGTTGTCTTTGTTCTAGGGGTGTTGTTAGAGAGGGGCTCCACTGTATATACTTACCTGGTGGCAATGCTGCATAACAGCTGCTATCCCTTTGTTGAAGTCAAATGAATCGTAGTGTCTCTTCACAACATCTGGACAAACAATAAAATACTATATTTTGCAGGTAGATCATCTTTCTCGAAAATTCCTTTTTACTACAGAATTCAAGAGTGGGTTAAAAATCCACACAGTGTGAGAGTGTAAATAATATTAGTCAGATGTTCTTCATTTCAGGGGTTAAATTGCATGCAAGAACAGTTCTTGGGGAAAGAAAAGGTGTCCTTATTAGAGAGGTGTCCTCATTTCAGGGGTTTCCTTAGAGAGGAGTTCCATGTTCACCTGGTAGATTTTGCAAACTGCGGATCAATGCGAAGTCTTCTTCACTCGCTCTACACTCGGGGGAACAGTGAAAATTCGACCCCTCGAACGTGGGGAACAGCTCGGGGTGAAATTGGAGTCGGGGTCCCCCGGGGTTGAGTCTCGGGGTACTGATCCTCTGGAGTAAGTTACCCAGGGTGTTGGGGAGGTCTGCATTTGTCGTGGCAACCAGACGCTCTTCTGAGTAATCTGAATAAGAAAAGACAGAGAAATGAGAAAGACGACACGATCGACGTACCTCCGTCATGTTGAATTGAGCCTTCCTTCAACAGAAAGTAACGCAGAGGGTCAACTCCATACCTGGACAGAATGGAGTGTGGATCCACCACGTTCCCTTTTGCTCTTAGACATCTGCAGATACAGTAAAACCCTCTACAAGGACACTTCTGAAACGAGGACACCTCACTAATATGGACACTTTTCTGTCACATTGGCGTCAGGGTTTCACTGTATTATCATTACATACCGATTCAACGTATCGAATTTAACCATTTTTTTGAATCACTACTGAAATAAAACTGCTCGACCTTTGACTTCCCTATTGTCCAGTGGGCGTGGCTAACTATTCTCCGTGGCAACGGAAGCCCTGCCGCCATTAGAAACGCCGGCCAGTAGACAGCGTGGAATTTCAGAATGTCCTTCCCCACAATCTGATTGGTCGCCGGCCAGACCGAGCCACATATCTCAGTACCGTTGTCATGGCGATGAGTTTGTGAGTTGTGTGATATTTGTGAGGGTGTGATGGAGACGGTGAGGTAGTTGACTAGAGCATCCAACCACACGTATATCTGCAATAAATGTTAGTTTAACACTCTCGGGATAAAGTTGAACCCAAGGACACACTTAAATTGAGGACACTTCCCCTATAAGAACACTATCTTTCCCGAAGAAAAGTTTTTCATGTGTTCAACTAGGACACCTCACTGGACACTATCTGGATTAAGGGTTCAACTGTAATTATTACAGTTTGTGATGAGTCGTTTGGAACAGGGACACCCCAGTGGAGTCTGGAACGAGGACGCGACACGGAGAGGTCAGAGTTCGTCTCGTGGAGCAACCAGTGACGCACCCGTTGCCTTGACGACTCGGGGATCACGGCTATAAGTGTGGGACAAAGGTCAGAGAGGGACGAGAGAAAATAAATTGCATACGATAAGGTCTGGAATCAATCCATTCCAGAAGTCTGTCTCGGAACGAGGACAGTCTGAACATGTAGTTCTCTTCACTCGACCACTCCACAGCGTGACCCGTCTCCACGGAAACCTACAAACAAACAAATAATCACGCCCCCACTTGACTACGGTTTTACTCCAAACCTTAGTACCGGGTTCCGTTCCGTCGGTGGCCTGGGATGGGGACAGGAATGTTTCGTCTGGAACCGAGTACCATCCCTCATACTGCCCCTTGTATATGTGATCACCCTCTCTTAGAACATTCTGGAAGAATTCCAACAAGATCAGAGGTCATGTGATAGTCATGTGATCAGAAGGCAATGTCAAATTGGATGTATTTGGGGATTACATCATGATTTTAACAGGCCAAGTACGCTAAATCATGTAGAGGCATGCCCAATCCTGTAACAGGTCGTCCCGATTAAAATCACCCAGTGAGCAAAGTAATGTCAATCCACTAATGGGTCATCCTGATTTCAAACGTCACTGAAATACGACGATATTGAAAGTGAAAACAGACCCAGAACTTGTGAACAGTGTCCACGTGTCTATTCTCTGTTGTCCTGACGTAGTCAGTGGAGCTTATCTCTGCCGTGTCGAACAAACGCTGCAGAAAAAACAGTGGTTATAGAGAAAACATGGTAGATAGTATGCACGCACACACGTCGCTAAAATATCACAGCAATGAAAGTGAAAACAGATCCAAAAATTGTGAACAGTGTTACTTTATGCACACACGCATGCACCTATGCACACACACACACACACACACACACACACACACACCTACACGATTATACATAATATAGCATGCATGGGTGCCGAGAGTTGGTAAAATGTATATACACTGACCAAATTACCTTGAATTTTCCTGACACACTGTCACACAGTTGTTGGGGGGCCTATGCCAGCTGCTTCAGCTGCCTACCATGACAGAGAGAGAGAGGAGAAAAAAATCATGAGGCAGAAAAGTTGCACAATGTACAAATCACAAAAAACTAACTGTGCATGTAATGTTCCCTGTGCACAATTTTATGGTGAAAAATTGTTGCCGAAAGCCGTCATAGTTTTGGATACCTTCTGAATCTTTAGTCCATGTTCGTCGGTTCCCGTGGTGAAGATAGTGGGTGTGGCACCGGCCAGCTGGCTCCATCGGTGAGCAGCATCTCCCAACACTGCCGTGTACAGGTGACCTATATGAGGAGCTGCCCCCCCACCACCAAACCCCCGGGGGAAATTTTGTCAAATTTTGACCCCCTCTGCTTATCTATTACCGGCGTTTACGTAGAAGATTGGCGTTGTTATGAAGGAATAAGCTGCTCTGTTGGCTTGGGAGCTGAAGAATCGTCTGGAAAACCTTGCAAAACCCATGAAGCGTGAACCGTTCTCTTCAGGGGGGGAGTCGCCGAAACCACGCGCATGCGCTAAGCGGCCGTACACTACGCGCATGCGCAAGTCGGCCGTTTAACACACGTGTGCAATGGGGGACTTCGTCCAATCAGATTGCACCACGCTCCGCGCGCACGCCCGGCCCGATCCGACGGGCGGCGTGCAGGCAAAGTGCGAGCACTGCACATGTGACGACGACCTCCAGATAAAGTCGGTGGTTTGTGTTTGCAGCATTTCTCCTTTCCGCAAGCCGATAAACATAAGATGAGAACCGGTTAGAGTTTAGCTTCAGAAAAAAATAAAAGTTTTACTGTTTTTCTCCTCCCATTTTTCCCCTTGCAGGCCAGCTAGCCCTCTTTCTTACAGCGGCTATTCTGCCGTCCTTTGCTCTGTATGACAGTTCGGATGACGTGTACGAACTGACGGCAAGCAACTTCGATAGCATGGTTATCAACAGCCACTATGTCTGGGTGGTAGAATTTTACGCCCCCTGGTGAGTGAGCGACGATAGCCTCCAAGGGGTTAAAACTTTTTGATGACGTAATGATGATGTCACTAGGTGTGGACACTGTCAGGCACTGGCTCCGGAATACAAGAAAGCAGCAAGAGCTATGAACGTAAATGTAAATCTCTTTGTTCCCAGCTCTCGTTATCTTTCTCTCCTCTTCTTCCTCTATCTCCCTCGTCTTTCTATCCTTCTCTCTTCTCTCTATTTTATAGGGCATAGTAAGGATTGGAGCAGTGAATGCGGACGAACACCAGCAACTCGGAGGGAGGTATGGGGTTAAAGGTTTCCCCAGTATCAAGATATTCGGTGCCAACAAGAACAAGCCCACAGATTATCAAGGTGTTTATATTATACGTACCTCTCTTTTTGTCTCCTCTCCTAAACATTTCGCACGGAATCAATCGCATTTTGTAGAGACGAATTTAATGGACGCCAGTTCTCAGAATTTTTGGGAATCCACTGGTGTGTTTTTTTGGATTGCCCACTTATTTTTTAGGAATCCTGCTAAATTTTTTAAATTGCTTCGGGAAGGTTTGCTAATTCCTTTAGCGGTGTCAGAGTCCGATTCCCATTCCCCCAGGTCAGAGGACGGCGGATGCCATAGTTGAGGAGAGTTTCCGAGTGGCTCGCGACGTGGCCCGCGAGAGGATGGGAGCAAAGAAGACCTCGGGGGTAAGTCCACTTTCTCGTTATCGGAGGTGTGCTTTATTTAGAGTTTCCACTGTGTAACAGCGTGTTTTAGCACGAAACCTCCGAAAAAGATCGGAGGCATCCTTTAGTCTGATACACTAAAACCAAGTGTGCCTTATATAGAGGTGACCTTATTTGGAGGATCCTTTTTCGAAGGTTTCACTGTATATTATGTAGACTGGGAATCAAGGGTTAGTTAATTAATTAACCCTCTTGTCACTACAGGGAGGGAGTGGTGGTTCGTCTGGGGGAGGAAGTGGAGGAGGGGAAAAGGACGTGATTGAACTAACGGACGATAATTTTGACCAGCTCGTACTGCAGAGCGAGGACCTATGGCTGGTGGAATTCTATGCTCCATGGTAAGAGTTTTTTATAAGAGTTTATTGGCGTTTGGAAAAATGGTAGATTACTTAGAGTTTACTGGTAGATTACTGCAAGTTTACTGGTAGATTACAGAGAGTTTACTGATGTAGGTGTGGCCACTGTAAGAACCTAGCTCCCCACTGGGCAGCCGCAGCAACGGAGCTGAAGGGAAAAGTCAAACTTGGAGTGGTGGACGCGACAGTACACAAGGCAGTTGCATCACGCTACCAGGTGAGTCAGTACCGCAATGTACGTGTGCATTGTGTTCTACAAATTTTGAACCTTACTTCAAATTTTTTGCTGAATTCTGTGGCTGTGGTTCATAGATCTGCTGCATTGCGTACAGATAAGCAAGTTTTCTCTCGTGGCCTTGGCAGGATTCGTTTCCCGATCTTTCTTCTTTTTTTTTTTCCTTTTCCACCATAAAGATCTTTGTGTCTTCTTTTTTCCCCACCATGAAGTTCATTTTGTGTTATTTTGATTTTCTCGCGTTCTCCTGCTCTTCCCTCAGATACAAGGATTCCCCACCATAAAGACCTGGCCGGCAGGTTCCAAGACGGCCGAAGGTTTCGAGGATTACAGCGGAGGTCGGACCACCAGTGACATCGTCCAGTGGGCGCTGGAGAGATGGTCGGCTAAACTTCCACCCCCCGAGATACTGCAGGTTGTGAGGCTGTGTGTGTGCGTGCGTGCGTGCGTGTGTGCCTGTGCTGTGTGTGTGAGCTCCCACTAGACCCTAATACCCAGCATCCGCTAGTGAAAAAGCGACGGACAAACAAAATGAATGCTAAAGTGTCTCAACAGTACTTTGAAGAAAGACTAGAACTGTGAAGTGTATATACAAGCCCTGGAATTTTATTTCCAGCTCCCTCCCTCCCTCCCTCCCTCCCTCACAGCTAACGGGACAGGCAGTTCTCGACGAGTGTGCGAACAAGCAGCTCTGCATGCTGTCTTTCCTGCCCCACATCCTGGACAGTGGAGCTGAGAGGTAGAAACGGCTACATTGAGACTCTCCTCACACTCGGAGAAAAGTACAAACAACGCTCGTTCGGGTAAACCACCACTCCTATTACTACAACACTATCACAAATATTTGATTTACTGTTAGTTATCAATTGTTTTTATTTGCCTTGTGGAAGAATTTTAGTACCACCCCAAAACGGTGGTATTTATGATTTAACCCTCTTACGATGCATTATAATAATGTTGGTGTTGTGTCTTGGTTCTATTCCAGGTGGGTTTGGGCCGAGGGCGGACAGTTTCCTGATCTGGAGGAGAAACTAGAGATCGGGGGATTTGGATACCCGGTACGGTACCAGAATCTGACACTTGTGTACACAATTGTGATTTAACTCCATTCCCACTGCGTCCAGGCAATGGCGACAGTCAACAGTCGTAGGAAGGTATACTCCATTCTGAGGGGAGCATTCAGCAATGAGGGACTCAGCGAGTTTGTCAGGAATCTGATTGGTCAGCGAGGGGTTACCGTAGCGTTTGATGAGCTGCCGACCATACCCGATGTTGAGCCATGGGACGGAAAAGACGGCGAGGTATAAAACATTGTGATCTCTCCTTTTTTACATACTTATCTACTCTCTTGTCTTATATAATGCAGCTGCCTGTAGAAGACGATTATGATTTGTCAGACTTCGACATGGACGAAGACGTGGACACAAAAGACGAGCTCTGATTGGTCATTCAAGTCACATGACTAATCACCTCAAGTCACATGACCTCTGAAACATTGTGTATAATAATAGAGCATTCAACGACATCATCTTATTATAGTTTTACGCATGCAGTGTGGTGGTGGTTGTTTCATGAGAAAAGTGACATCAATTTTTTCCAAAAATTGACCATGCTTACGCATAAAATTTTAGTTGCGTTTACTCTAGTAAAATCAAAAAATGAACTGCTGCGTCAATTTTAACATGCAATGATTCTAGGGTGTGTTATGAAGTGTTACGCAACCTTCTCAGAATCAAGGTAGACGCCCTCCTGTAAGAGAAATTAGGGAGAAAGAGAGGAAGGAAGAGGAGAGCATACATTTTTTTTTATACACACTTTACGGGTGAATCAGAAGCACTCACCATGGCTCTCCAGAGGTTGCTACTGGACTTGGTGGAGATCCCGGACACCTCTTTCTGCCCTGAAATAGGCCTGCCGTACTTATGTCCAGTGATGTGGAGATACCTACATGTGGACACAAACAACACCGCATGTTTACATTTACATTGATGTTTACTGATGGCTCGTAATTAATACACTTTCTGAATGGCGAAAAAACAAGGAGAGAAGGAGAGAGAAGGAGAGAGAAGGAGAGAGAAGGAGAGAAGGAGAGGGGGAGAAGGAGAGAGGAGAGAAGGAGAGGGGAGAGAAGGAGAGGGGGAGAAGGAGAGGGGGAGAAGGAGAGAGGAGAGAAGGAGAGAGGAGTGAAGGAGAAGGAGAGCGAAAGAGAGATTACTTACGCATTGGTGTCCACATGTTTGAGTCTGACGTTTTCGTCCCTCTGCCAGTACTGGGCCTGTGAAGAGGAGCACTCGACCTCCCAGTTGTCACCACTGTCGCTGCTGTCGTCGCCTCCAAACGCACTCACCTCCTGGTTGCCTGGGAGACCGAGACGGAATGTCACATTTAATGAACAGTGCGTTTCTGGTTTTCTTGTGTTTGTCAAAATGACTTCTCGGTTTCAGGGGCACACATGGGTTACACAAACCCACAGTCAACAAAGAAAGGATTTGAAAAGACGTTTTCATGTACAAGATGTAGATGGTGCACCTGATAGTGGAGATTTGAATCTGTGGCTGTGTAGGAACTTGCGAGTCTGTACGTGTTGTAGTCTGATTACTGAGCCGCATTGGACAGATGCCCTGCATACAGAGTAGTGAGGAGAGAGGGAAGGAGGGGGTGGGGGAGGGGCAAGGAGGTGAGGGAGGAGGGTAAGGGTGGGTGTAAGGAAAGACAAAACAAGAGTTAGGATGTGTCACAAAGGCCAGCGATGTGTGCCGTGCAGCATTCTACATGTTGTGTCCCTAGGATTGAATCTCCTTGTAGCCATTTACATAATGTGAACCCAGAGAGAGAGAGAGAGAGAGAGAGACGAAAAGGGGGTGTGTCATCTCACCCTCGTTGGTAGTTGGTGTCCACCCCATATGCTCCCTTCACCAGCCAATAGCTGTTGACATCATCGGCATGTGGTACCCCCGTCACAGTCTGGAGCGGAACAAAGACAGTAACACGTGCACCATGGGCAACACCATTTGTACCCAATTCTTACCACTGACACACATAAACATGATGTTCATATAGCATGGGACTATAGTGCATTCACGTTGAAAGCGCACTTTGTCATACATTGTAAAACCTACTCCCCTTATAGCTAGCCAACCACAACTAAAAGAACTAAGGATTCTCAAGTTCTACAAAATAGGTATTATCCCAATTTGCACATGCACATCTCATTGAAAGAGCATTTGGCTAGCTACAAATGTCCACTAAGTTATGTATGTGCCATTTGATGTACAGTATCCCTATAGAATAGCGCAGTTTGTTGCTGCTAGCCTGTACATCCTGTGTCGTACAATGTAAAACCAGTTTTCCCCGTTTATCTGCATTACTTGGTAACCGTACACACGACAAGCCTCTCAGCACGCAGCTGTACATACCAAACAATCCCCAGGCACATTATAACATTATCACTCATTAGAGGTTTGAGGCCTTCCCAGTTTACTTGGTTGCCATGCAAGAATCTTGACTACATTCATAGTCAACCTAACACTATTCAATATTCAGCTGTGTGCATTCAAAACAGTTTTTCGTGTTAGTGTCCCTCTCTTCTCTCCTTCCATTCCCCTTTTCTTCCTTCAATCTTTTCCTTTCCCTCCCTCCCTAACAAACTGTGCATACCTGCTGCCCGCTGCCCGAGCCATACTTGACATCATGCGAGTGAAGTCTGTCACTGGAGTCAACATTCGCTATCTTCAACACTGATCCACACGTCACCTGCTGAAATCCTGCCAACGACAAATCATGACTACAGGTCCGCACACACGTGTCGTCCTCGCACGCTACCTGCTGGCGCGGCGGTTTTGAAGAGGAGGGCCAGAACGAGCGGCAGTAAGTATTTCAAGGTCATTCTGGTGTCTTTTAGTTCTCGAACAGCCTTCCCTGCCTCGCCCTCCTCGCCTCGCACTCAACTTTCTTCTCGCCGAAAAAGACCCGAAAGTGACACGTCAGAGCGCAAAGAGAGCCGCACCCACCACACCCCCGGCCGCAACGAGCGCGGGGAGGAAAAGGGTTAAATTCCAATGGCACGCGCCGCCGCCGTTGTGTTTGGGCGCGGCCTATCACCATAGCAGCAGCGGGCTCAGTAAACACAAAAACCCCGCGAAATCAAATCCTGTAAGTCCCAAAGAGCAGGGAGGGTCGGCCATGGCAGATCTGAGCGAAGAGGAACTGCAGGCACTGTACTGTTGGATAGACGAGATCCCTCTCTCTCGAGCCAAGAAAAACATCGCAAGAGATTTCAGTGACGGAGGTAAACACACAGTACACTACAAAACTTGTATGTAGCACACAATCACCGTGGGAATTAGAATTATTACTGCCATTGATTCTCTCGTTAACGTAGTGCTGACTGCGGAGATAGTGCACCACTTCCTGCCCCATTTGGTGGAGCTACACAATTACTCCCCGGCAAACTCTTCAACACACAAGATAGAAAACTGGCGGACACTAAACAGTAAGTGGACAAATCACGTAGCTTTAGAGTGAACGTCTCTCTTCAGGGAAAGTATTTTCAAGACTGAATTTCTCCATTCCCGATGACATTATTCAGAGTGTGTCTGCGAACAAGCAAGGAGCGATTGAGTTTATCCTCACCACACTGCACACAAAAGTAAAGCCAGTGATTAGTCTCATTCACTATTTCTATGCTGTTTACCTTTCACCAAACTCAAAATGTCATTAGATTGAGAGGTATCTCCAGAACCAGGCAAAGAGTTGGTGAAGATCACCATTTCGACGCCGGTTATCCCTACGACCCTAATGAGCTCACCACATCTGAAATACCTACTGCCTACGGACAGTTTAACCCCCTTCCTCCTACAAACCCCCAGCATCTTCACAGAATGGCAACTATCAATGAAACCACTACCTACGAACCTTCTCGAATAAACGAGATGCATTTACCCCAACCCCATTTAGAGCTCCCTCACCCCCAGCCCCACCTACCTTTCCCGAGAGCTCCACCCATCAAATTAAAACCGCAAAACCCAGCAGCTCCACCTCCATTTCAATCAAGACTTCGTCTGCCTGCAAACTATCCCCGACCTGCGCAACCGCACAACACTTCCACACTTCCTCCCATTCATCTGCACACTGGCACTGTCATAGAGGGTGGCGTAGGAGGTATCAGAGACACTGGAGGACAGGCACAAGTAGCTCAGACTCTAACAAAACTGCCCAACATCATCCACGGAAGAAGCAAGACTTATGCTGGGAGAACTAACAACAGGCTTGGGTAAGTCGTGCGCATAAAGTTTTCCCTGCATATATATGTATGTATGCTGTGATTCATGCAGAAAAACAACTTATCCCTGAAGCTATGTGCATAATTAACTAGTGGAACATTAATTCGCATTGTGGCCCTTTCTTGATCAGTATTATTAAGCATGACGCTATCATACTGTTTTTTAAACAAATCTTTCAGGCCGCAGTCGACCAATGTACCAAGTGTTGCTCTGGCAGGAGGAAAGAGGGACGACAGTGCCAAGCAACAGATCAGACTGGCAGAGAAAGAGCAGAAGCTCTTCGAGACTCAAGAATACATCCAAGTACGTGCAACCAGCAAGGAAATTTGTGGTTTGCGACTAATACACTTATTTCTACGTCTCTTCTCTCTTGTTGCAGTTGTTACAAATGAAGGTGACGAGGCTAGAGCATCTCGTACATATCAAAGACATGAAGATCCAAGAACTCCACAGACAATTAGCCGCAGCCCATTCGCGACATCCACTGCTGCACAGACATTAGCCATTCATTCCCGAAATGATCCGCGCATGCGCACATTATTTATTTTTAACCCTTACCCAACGATATTTGTGAAGACTGCCGCCCATGATTGTTTGTCTGTCTTCTTCTCCTGGTTTTCTTTGTTGGGATTCCTTGTCATGAGCATCAGACACTGAAGAACCCTCGACCACGACCTGTGTGAGCAGAGTGGAGAAGTCGGTGAGTCGCTCGCATCAACCCATGTCTTCCACGACTACAAGTCGACCGCCAACCGTCTCTACGACTTCCAAGGGCGACGATGCCGAATCCGGAGCAGTTACGGCGGAGGTCGAGACGCGAGCCCGCCTTGCACCACACCAACAGGCCGAAGACTTCATCTGTGGGGGCGTTGCTTCCTTTGTGAACGTCTGCGCGACGTTCCCGCTCAACAAGGTCATGTTCCGTCAACAGGTCCACGGGTTCCGTTTCTTCAACGCACTGCGGCAGCTGCGCAAAGAGGGCCTCGCGAACCTCTACCGCGGGCTTCTCCCGCCTCTGCTGCAGCGTACGGCGTCCGTCTCGCTGATGTTCGGGACGTACCACAAGTATCGCGACTCCATGTTACGATTGTCTCCCAACTCACCGTACGCCGTCGTTCACACGTTAGCGGCGCTGGGAGCCGGAACTACGGAAGCGATTCTCGCCCCGTTGGAGCGAGTCCAGGTCGTTCTGCAGGTAAAGGACTTCCACGAGCGCTACCAGAATACTTTCCACGCCTTTCGCGACATCGCTGGACGCGGAGGAGTGCGCGAGTTGTACCGCGGGACCTCCGCAATCGTCGTGCGTAACGGGCTCAGCAACGTGCTCTTCTTCGGGCTACGCCAACCGCTCATGGACGCTCTCCCGCACCCGAGCTCCGAGCTCGGGAAGACATTCAACGCATTTGTGAGCGGAGCCGGCCTTGGCGCATTCCTCAGTTCCGTTTTCTTCGCGCTGAACGTCGTGAAAACGCGAATGCAGACCGTCGTCGAAGGACCGCACGTGGGAATGTTGCGTACCGCGCGGACCATCTTCGACGAGCGGGGTCGACGCTGGCGTAAGCTGTACCGGGGGATTCACATAAACTACACTCGCTCCTTCATCTCTTGGGGGATTATCAATGCTGTATATGAATTTATGAAAAATAATATTGATTGGTCATAAGGAAGCACTGGTTTTCGCCACAAAATCGTAAGAAAACTGGGATTGTGCATGCAAAACGTAATAAAGGGGGGGTGTGGCTTGAGTAATTAACCCCTTTTCTCGTCGAGCAGGGAAAATGAGCAACGAACAGGTCTGCCGTTACTTCCTGGAGGGAAGATGCCGCTTCGGAGCTAGGTGCCGCTATAGTCACGAGACGGGGCGCCAAGCCGGAGGTCGAGGCGGACAAACCAGTAGTAACTCCAGCCTCACGTGACCAATCAGACACTTTACCTGAGTGTCTACTTTTCTAGATGCGTCTTTTCCCGAAGCCAGACGTGGTTACGGATATGACCACCGCGAGGTGAGAGCAACAGTGCGTTTTGTGCACCATATTATGTGCGTGCGTGTTTCTTTCAGGCAGGGAGGGACAGTAACAGATTCGAGCACTTCAACTCAGGTGGTTATGGAGGAGGGGAAATGGGGGCGTGGCGGGTTTGGTGGTTACAGCGACGGAGGTGGGGGTTATGGAAATAGAGGATTTCGTGGTGGCTATAGCGACAGAGGAGGGGGTTATGGAAATAGAGGATTTCGTGGTGGCTATAGCGACAGAGGAGGGGGTTATGGAAATAGAAGACCTGTTGGTGACTATAGCTACAGAGGTGGGGATTATGAAAATAGAGGATTTCGTGGTGGCTATAGCGACAGAGGTGGGAGTTATGGATTTCGTGGTGGCCATAGCGACAGAGGTGGGAGTTATGGATTTCGTGGTGGCCATAGCGACAGAGGTGGGTAGTTATGGACCTTCAAACACCAGTTCATATGGAGGACCAGGAGGCGGTTATGGAAATAGAGGACCCTCGACCTCAGAACCTACTTCACCCGAAGAACTTGCGTAAGAACCACAAACAGTGCATACAGTTAAACCTCTGAAAACGGACGCCTCTGGTTTCGCCCCCATACTAAGTTCATTACCTGAATACCCCATGCTAAGTTTATAAGGGACACCACACTTAATTGTTTCCAAGGTGTCCTTTGCACAGAGTTTCCACTGTTCATACATACAAACTACACCCAGTCAGGTGATCCGGGAAGACATGGAGACATGGACCGAGTCCCAGATGTGGCCGTTCAGCTGCTACTCCTGCCAGCGAGAGGGGAGGTGTGTCCCGAGATTTGTCGACACTTCGCCAGAGGAGCTGCGGTGGAAGGCCTATCAGGCAATGCAGGACCCGGCAGCTCAGACCGCCTACCACGCCGAGCTGAGCAGTCTTCACGAGCAGGCAATGAGCGCCAGGAGAGAGCTAATGGCAATCACTCCAATAATTGTTCAGAGTTTGGTGAGCCCCTCTCTAGTCTCCTCGTTCAGTTATCACTAAGTTAGTAACCTACCATCATAGATGTATGGGGGCTCTATGACTATGTGCCTTTGTACATATTTTACCTATTGTCATAGATGTATGTAGCTATTATCATGATTGTGCCTTTCTGTATGTATGGGGCAATGATCATGAGTGGGCCAACCCTCCATATACAACTCTTGCCGGTTTTTGTTGTATAAGGAAATTTTTTGAAGGAAAACGGCCAGAGTTGTATATTGAGGGTTGGCCCACTCTGACTCTGACCCTTCAATTATGGGTCTCTGTATGCAAACAGCTCTCTGGAGATGGAGGAACTGCCTCGTCGTCGGCCATCTCTCCCTCCGCCCTCTTCCAGACTCCTCAGGAACAACCTTCCATCTTTGGTGCAGTGACAGACGGAAGCAGCAAAAGGTCTCCGTTTGCCAGTTCACCGGATGCTCCCGCGAGCTTGTTCGCTGGACCATCCGGAACCTCAAACACTGCGAATGGATCGTTAGCACAGGGGTCTTTGTCAATTGCAGGTAAATATGGGTGAGCCAGATGTGCAGTGTAGCCTTAAGGACACCTCAGGAACATATAAAGTGTGCATTTCGGAGGTTGGAATGAAACAGTATAGGTCAGAACCAAGAGACAGGTGTGCTCTATTTGGAAGGTTCTGTATCGTATCTATGTTATGCACATGCGCAGATTGTAAGGGTGTGACTACTATTATGTGGCATGCCTCATTTACAAGGTTAGGATAGTTGGCGGGGGCAGTCTGAGTAATGCAAATTGACACTCCAACCAAGGCAATTGTCCATGCATAGTAAATCACGTAGACAGTGAGGGGCACATGCCCTGCATGCATGCTTACACTCACTCCCCAAATATTTAATTTGCACGGAAGCTTTGAAGCAAGATACATTACATTAGACCTTCGACTTCCTCCCTTATTCTCTTCCTCCTCACTCTTTTCTCTCTCTCTCTCTCCCTTCCTCCCTCTCCCTCTCCCTCCCTCCTTCAGAACAACCAACAATACCAGAAGCATCCTCAACCCAGCAGTCCACCATCACAGTCAGTTCAACAGTGACAACAGCTCACCAGCTAACAGAAGAAGAGCTGAAGGCTTTCAAAGCCGAACACTTTCACTGGGGAAGATTCCCGAAACTCCACCCCCTCCAGAACTAGTTTAACCCTGCTCCAAAACTTCAAATTCCACTCCGTATTTCTGTTCTGTAATGATTTTGCACACTCGTGCGTGGTTTTCTTCACGATCTGCCCGTAAATGCCTCACTCATGACCTAATTAAGCCAGAAAGAATGTGTGTGTGAAAAGTAAGAGGGAAGAAATGAAACTCTAAACTTATTGCTGTAGTGAGGCTTTGTAGTGGATTTGTGCAACACGCGAGAGACTGCTGATATAAAGTGGGCATGCAGCTTTATGAGAGCAGAGCCAGCTTTTAATTGCAGGAGCTCTGCATCCACCTGTATTATTATTATTATGCACCTGTTAACTCGAAGACACAATTGGGTGAAAGGACTCCAGTATCAAGCATTTTCAGGATAAACAACCTCCAGTTTCCGAGAAAGCATGCCAGAAAATTGCCAACGCACCACATCTCCACTACATGCACTCACCATGTGTGCCTTTGCTCTTTCAGCATGCATGCATGTATACCCAGGTGCCTTTATATACTCAGACTGACCACAACTTATTTCAGGCTCACAGGCACAAATGCATTTTGCTTTCGGGTGCATTACTCTGAAAATCCAGGCTCACCAATATAGCTTGCAGTGTACATTATAATACATACTGCTCATTTGCAGGTGGCTATCCACCGATTTTCCAAATGCGCTCGCAAAATGCACTGCGCTTTCAACAGTATTCTTGTGATCAGAGAATGGCTCTATTGTTATAATCAACAGTGTACATACATACACAAATACACAGGATTGGGATGTAGGGGGAAAGGGGTTAAAATGACTACAGCATTAATTTTTACCGGCATTACAATCACATGGTTACAATAATCCACTCGTAATTACATAGAGAGCAAAAGACGACCAAAAAATTGAAGAGTCCAAACGAACAATTTCCGACAGTGCATGCCACAACAAACGAGAAATGAGCGGTACATACCGTTAAACACAACAGATTCAAACGAAGATACCCACACACAGTCGAATCAAGCGACCACGGTGTATTCTCACAGAAAATATAGCGAATCGATATCCCAACAACGTAAACGGCCAAAATCGCCAAAATCACCAAAATGGATATAATGTTGGAGTCAGTTGTAGGAATTTCTTTTTTTTGGAGAATTTTTTCGTTATTTTACCAACAATTGCTGCCAAATCTGGAACGTGATGTGATGTGCAATGTTATATTGGTATAAATATTATTAGCTTCCAATTCTCTGCTTCGGTTAAATAGGCTGAGGTTTCTTTATAATTAGAGGGTAAGGGGGGAGAGGGAGGGTTGATGAGTCACAGGTCTGAAGTTGGTCAAACGATAGGAACACGAGGGGGCAGCCCGGGAGGCGACACGGCAGTGGAGGATGACTGGCGCTGGGCGTAGTGCAAGTGAGGACCGTTCTTGTTCCTTGGTGGAGTGTACTGCCCCTTCTCCATGCTGCGGGTCCGACCGCGGAATGATTGTTGGGGCAAGTCCTCATCTATGAGTGGGACGTTCTGGTACGTCTCGCAGCTATCTCTCCGCCGCTGGCTCCTGATCTCGGCATTTTCGTAGTTCGGGTGGTAGACAACGAAATCTTCGTCTCTTGTTTTCGACGCAGCGGGCACGTTTTCGTACAGTTCCGGTCGCTCGTGTGTCTTCGGAGCCTCTTGAATCGTCGGGAGTGGACCAGAATTGTCGTAGTTTGAGGACGGACTGGCTGAAGATGGAATCGGAGACTCTCCGTTCCGTTTGCGGAATGGAGGTGGAACGTCGTAATTGCTGGGTACGACGGGTCGTGGAATTGGAGGAACATCGTAATTGCTGGATACGACGGGTCGCGGAATTGTCATCCCATTTGCAAAGGCCGGGATCATCTTGATGTAGTCCTCCTGAGCCGGATGGTGTCCGCTTTGGCTCGGGTGGCGCATGGTTTCGTACTCGTGCTGGTCTTGACCGTGTAGAGGCATAGTTTCGTAATGATGATGATGAGCGTCGCTACTTGCACCGAACTCAGGATCCATCCTGAACTGTCCGCTCCCCGATTCCTCGTTCTCCTCGGAGTACCCCTCGTCGTGTGGCGACACGGACTGTCTCGACATTGCTCGCTCGTCAAACATTTCATCATCATTGAACGAGCCCACAGAGTGACTGTAAGACTGCTGGGACGGAGCCCCGAAACTGCCACTCGGGGAGGCCGAGCTGCGTGAGCTGCGAGGCACGGGGACCGAACGCTGTTTACGGAAGGATGGGTGTTTATCGAGACGTACCGGTGGAGGGACGTCTTGGGCCGGGGAGCGGGAGCGAGAGATAGGCGAGTCCTTGAACCCCGAGTCGTCGCCTGCACCAACCGACACCTGACTGTACTGGAAACTGGAGGAGGACTGGGATCTCTGGTAGGACGACGGGAGACTCATGTCAATGGAGGAACGTGGTCTGGAATAGACGGCAGAGTCTTTGGTGGGGATGGACACTGCCTTACCATCTCCCTGGAAGAGGAATCTGAGGGAAAGAACAGAGAGAGGCGAGGTAAATCCAGAGACAGCTACAGTGAGGTCGCTATGATAAGCAATGGGAAATAAGAGAGGGTCCCCCATACTAGTAAGGTGTTCTCATTTCAGGGGTGCAAGAGCTGTTCTGGGGAAAGAAACTCGTCCAGGAAGATAGAACAAACCCCTGGTGTGCTAAAAATGTAAAATAGGGCGTACACAGGAACAGAGGGGGTGGGGAGGGAAGTGACAGACAGGAAGGCTGGGGCTCCATTGTTGAGTCAGAAATGACTTGGAGGCACACAAAGAGAGGAAGTTGAGGCTTTAGCTCCATAATATACCCAGGAAACCACTCAATCACACCACCACTAGTACATGTACTTACATACACTATCCACCCCACCAGACCACGTGGTCATCATGGGTACAAGAGAAGGTCAGAGCCTACAGGCCCACAGTGGTAGTAGTAGTATCCACTGCACTGAGGTTGAAAGGTGACATGTTTATCAACCACACTACAGGAACTACCCAACCAGGCAACAGTAAACAATGTACAGAGCAGTTGCACCTGGAGCTGTCCCATCCAGCCACAAACACCAACCATAATACAGTGGAACCCTCCTAGTCTGGACCCCAAAGGAAGTGTCCATATTAGTGAGGTGTCTATTTCAGGGGTTAAATTGCAAGAACTATTCTTTAAGGGAAAGGAAAGGAATGTATCTTCAGTATAGAGGTGTCCTCATTTCAGGAGTGTCCTTAGAGAGAGAGTTTCAACAGACAGCTAAACACTGCGTTCCAAATCTCCCTGCCACATTTTGTTGGCACGCGCAGCATCGTCTACACCACGAGAGAGAGCCTTCAAACGCTGAGGCAGTTAGATCCCACTTGCAGGCATATTAGGCCAGTTGGCTCAAATTTCAGCAGGCAATCCGAGACCCGAAGGCTTGTGGTTTCATACTAGAGAATGTCGGGAATGCCATCTCATGATACACAGACCATATAAGTATCCGGAGAAATCTCTCCATGTGCATCTTAGTGCCAGGCATAGAGGAGTACAGCAGTCTACCCTACTACACCGGAACTTACACTCCTTCACATTCCAGACACACCAGACCTCCGAGAATGCCCCTTCTACCCAGACAACATAAGCCCTCCTCCTGTCCAGTCATGAGGTCACACACACACACACACACACCACACACACAAGTAGGCCACAGTAAACACACCACCTCTAGCTGTGGTGTGTTGTGGTGTGTGTTGTTACTCTATACTGTGCAAACAAATGACACTCTGGGATGGGTCCTCCCATCAGATATCACACAATACACCATATTGCCATAGGTACTCCCATTCATTCATTCATTACTGGAGTGGTTTCCAAGAACCAGCTTCCACAGTCCCAACAGACAAAGAATGAGGTTATTTTGACCTGGGGACTGAATGGTGGTGGAAGTGTGATCTCATCCCAAGCAGGTCTATATACCTCCAGAGGCTCTCTATATCAACAGGATATGCAAGCAGGGAAGGAGGGCAGGCAGCGTGATCTAGCTGCCCCACAATCAGGTGATAGGGATACCTCACTAGTGAGACTGCAGGTGTACCACACATAACTAGGCAATTTCCTGCACAGTGGAAGACTAGGTAGTAAGGCTTCACCACATAATTACGGATGCTCAACCCTAGCTACAACAAACAACACAGTAGCAATGCCCCAGCTTGTGTAAAGGTTGGCAAACTGGTGCGCTAGAACAGGGTCAGGGCCAAAATAGGCAAGGAAATTGGCCTGGGTTTACAAACTGTGGACCTTTGTTGACAGGTCCCCTGAAATTAGGGGCTATGGATGAATGGCAAAGATTGTGTGGGAGAGAGATCCCAATAGTCTTGGTGCCATGTAGCCAGGTGTCCTGGCTGGTTGGAGTGGTCTGACCTAATAGATATACAAGCACAGGGGCCAGAGTCCCCGCCACAGTCATGCATTTATCAATCTCCATTGTATGCTGTACTGACCCCTAAAATTCCGCACTCAATAAAAGGTAGGATTTTGGGACTGCCCTTGTAAATATGTTCACAAACATTCTAATGCCCACAGCTTTCAAAATAAACAGCTAGTGGACAGGGGCAATTGCCAAAAACAAGGCATCAGCCCTACTAAAGACTCCCTGAAAATGAATGCATAGGCACAGCTATATACACAGCTATTGTCCCCACACACAGAAGGGCAAATTCACTAGGTTTCAAGCATAGAAAAAGCTGCGTTTCACCAAAGATGGGATAGACAGCTCCACTTGTGGCTAGCTACTAACAACAGTCATTATGTGGCCAGGTGCCCTAATCTGGATGTGTACATGTCCAACCTCCCTAGAGTTTGCCAACAATAGGGGTCCCAGAGACTATCCAGATTAGTCTAGAACCAGCGACAGTAGACTAGAACAACACTACATCACAGCTTCCCACCTGTAGCACACACAGGCACCAAGATGTTCTAATCTTGGGTAAAACCTTGAGTTTATGTGCTGACACCCTGGAACTATCCTGTCTTGGGTCAAAATCTTGAAATTTTGAACATTTTAATGTTCACAACACGTCAAAACCTGCCACAACTGTAACACATACAAGTATCCTCCTGAACCACAAACCATACTCTGCTGTTTATAGGTTAAACCCACCTGTGGAGAGTTTCTCTGAGAGGGTGAGCCTCCTCGAAACCCAGCATACATCCACACCAGCCCCGGCCCTCCATGGCACCTCCGCCCGATCTCGATGAACACGAGGTTCCCCGTCTTTCCCGTTCTGCGCATCTTGTCTCGGTCCCACGCGACGATCGGTTTCCCCGCGTCGGACGGACTCACGATCTGGAGCTGTCCCACACTCTGATTAGGGATGCCACCTTTGAGGAGGAGAATGTGGACCCCCAGCATATTGCATCTGGAGCCCACCTCCTCTGGCATGATGTACACTGCCCATGCTGAATCTGGGGCGACAGAGGAGAGAGGAGAGAGAGGGAGGGAAGAAGGGTAAAGGAAGGAGGAAAAGGTGGGTGAGAAAGGCATGCAATAGCAAGGATGTTGGCACACTTGGTTATTGTTAGAGGCCAGGGCTCAAGGGAAGTTGACTCCATGATCTAAATATACCTCTCCCACCACACCTAGTACTAAAAATAGCCTGAGTTACCCATGCCTATACTCCACACAGGGTACCACTTGTACATAAGGAGGTTGGTTGTAACACAGCTAGGGATGTAAACTTGAGGTATTTGTAATAACCTCTGGGGAATAATTTCAAGAATTCATAGGGAATGAAAGCCTTATATTAAGTATGTCTAAAATCCCTTGCTCAGTTTATTCTATTAAAATCCCTTGCTCAGTTTATTATTCCAAGAAAAGACCCTAACAAATTGGGGAAACCTGAAGGAAGTTTCAGATTTCTTTCCTGCTGAGTTTCCCCCTGCACTACAGGAAGCTAAGGGTTTTCTTTTCACTAAATAAATGTACATAGGGGGCGCCACTAGGGGGCAATTGTGTGTACATTAAATACAACTAAGGTCATCCCACCCACTCCTTAGTGCGACAAGTAAACAAACTCTGAGTCTGGGGATTTGTTTTTAGTTCAGTAGGGGAGGAGTGTTTGGGGGTGAGGGAGTTAAACAGCCCCCAAACCACAACAAATGGCGTATTATTGGTATACTGCTCCAACCCCAAGTGGAGTGTACTGTGGGTATCAACATAGTGTGTATTAATTATACCTGCTCCATAGGACTTGGGGTCCAGTTTGTAACGGAATCCCTCGCTGATTGGGTTGGAGGAAGGCTCCTCTGGGATGACAGAGTAAGGAAACATGGTCAGGAGCGTGAGAAGCTTCAGCCAGTGGACCTTCATGTCACCACTCTCCGATCTGAACTCGTTCACTTCATTGGAATGGATCACCAGGAACTGACAGGCTTTCTCCAGCGGAGTTCCACCTGACCCCGGCGACCCCTGGGAACCGACGGGAGACGCGTAGGTCGGTTCCTCAACCTTTGCACCCACGAGCTGGATTATCTTCTTTGGTTTCTTGTCGCCGGCTCGCTCCACGTTCTCGTAGTTGTCATACAGGGCCATGCAGGCCGAGTGCAGTTTCCCGTCGTTCTCGCTCCCACAAAACACAATGACTGCTCTCCTCTGGGGAGATAGACACAGATATGACATGGGGTGGGACACAGTTTAGAAAGAAGCATCATGAAAATGGGCTCTACCTACAACACACAACATTGAAAGCGAAAATTCAGTTTTACTAGCGTTCTTGTGCCCCACACCAGCCTTGTAGGGGTGAATACACACGGGAACTACGCAGGAACGCTCCCCATGCAGTAGTAGCAGATACCTACGCAAGCCATTTCCAGGGAAGCAGCTGGCGAAGGCCTTCCCCGTCGTCACCTAGTCAGCACATAACTTTTTTTTACCCGCCCACGTTTAGAGCTACAACATACATCCAAGCAGAATACGCCTTAGCTTGGCTATTTGCCTCACCTTCCAAGCTCCCGAGCCTTTCTTTCGGTGCATGAGCGGGCCTCGCAGAACTTCCCTGCCGCGGGTCCTCACTGCTTTGGCCATCGCCATCTCTCTCTCCGGACTCTATCGGTGATTGACTGCAGCAACACAAACGGGGATGAGCGAGGGCGTTCAATCAAAGACAGACGAAACGCGAGCTGGGAAACGCGATGGGCTCGGCCGAAGAGGCGCCGCCGATTCCACCGTATATACGCGAAAAAGAGAGGACAACTCGCGGACTCTATATACGACCTCGACGGCTCTAGATTGTTGACAAGGGGCGGTATCGTTGTTCTGTATCCTATGCGGCCCGCCAAAACCGCAGCTACTCTCTCATTGGTCGGCGGCCCTGAAACGCGCGCGAAAGCCCGGCGCCGCAAGGATTGAGGAATGTTAATTAAAACCACAAAATCGATCGTACGATCGACGAATCGGGCGGAGAAGAACGCAACGTAGGCGGAGAAGAACACGGACGGACGACTCGCGCGCGCGAAGTTACAAGCAAGCCAGCCATAGCATAGCTACTTAGCTACAAGGAAAAAGCCAGATGGCGCCCGCACAGTATTCACGAAAAAGACAAGTAAGACGGTAAATCGTAGTTGATCGAAGGAATGCATTCGTCAGCAAACAAAATGCTAGCTAGCAAAACACCCATAAAGCACGCTCCACGTGGTACTACTAGCTAGATACGCAGGTAGCGAGCGGCTAAAAGTCAGGCAGCAGTGTCCAGAACAATGGCACAACACAAGCATGAATAGAGGGACACAAACGTACCAAAATCTTTTAGTAGAATCCGTTGCGTTCACGAGTGGTTTACTCTTCGACCGGCAGCGCTGTGGTGTGAGAGCAGTGCACCTGTGTGCCCTATTTCCGTCGAATTTCTCCTCAAATCAGGCTTTACTTCGGTACGACAAAATCGACGCTTCCAAGCTTTGCCGCTTTCTAACGGTAACTTCTCCTTTAGATTACAGAATTATCTATCGACCGATGTACATCTACTTAGGACGGGGGCAGTCTTTCTTGTAACTCGTACGATCCACACAAATCTACGTATCTCTAGCTACGGTAAATTACTCAATCTTCTAGCTATGTGCAAACCGCAAAGGTATTTATATAGAGTGCCGCTGACTACTTCCGCCCGTGCGTAAGCATTCTTATGAAATCCAGGAAGTCCCATCCTATTATGTGCGTGTTGTATATACATTATACAAACCACGTGGTTCTTATGGCCGCAAAGGAATGCAAACACTCCAGTCAAAGAGAGCACACCCTCCTTGTGCTTCCACTATTAGATTACTATTATGCATGCATGTGATTTACTTATGTACTCCGTCTTTACTGTTCATGGTCAACGTGTATTTCACCTCGTGATAGTACTCTATCATATTATCCTTCTTTGTAATACACAAGGGGAAACACTGCACGCTGTATATTGTTCTGGTTACCACATGCATACAATGGGGAACCTGTCCCGAAAAGCTGTCCTAATCTGCATAGTATCTTGATCTAGTGGTGTCCTGGTAAACCCTTACTCTGATGAGGCAGTACGAATTGTCACGTGTCGCATCCATAGCTTAGCTACAACAATACAATACTTATGCGACATAATTACATGCTACTCCTACATTAGTGTGTGTAACTATACAGTCACAAGGCTTGTTGTGACGCTGTTCGTGATAATGTTCACAATGCTTAAACCGCACTCGTGCAATCGTTGCATCACCGATTTTTTTCGCAATCGTGTCTCAGCATAATTGCCTAACAACCCTATTTGTAGCACATCCACATCGTGCTCTTGTTTATACAGCGCATGCTGCATTTATAACTGTGTTCATTACCATGTATAGGCACAAACTACGACAGTAGAGCCTATATACAACTCCATGTAGGGGGGCTAATGTGTCGACAATACTTTCAAATAAGCACAGTTCAACCTCTCACGGGATACTTACACCTGTTGTGAGGTTGGCATTCAGTAGACTGACAATCCCGAGAGTGTTACGTGCGAATTGAAGCTATTGTATATCGGGCCTTTGAGTTCAGACTGACACAGGAACACATTGTCTCTGTGTCCATTCGAAGTGTAAGTGTTCCGAGACATTCAGTGGTGAAAAGACACCAAACATTCATCATGGGATGTGTCCGACTACACACCACGTGGGTTGAGAGAGACAATGACACGAGGGAGGGAGAAGGGAGAGAAAAATGGGGAACGGAGGAAGCCAATAATAAACAAACATGCACAGTGAAAAAATGATGCAACCCTATTATACCACCCAAAGAGAAAACGCTATTTATTGCTGGAAATTCATAGGACACACCCCAAAACTTCAGAAATTTATGATGACATTAGGCCCAAAGATTTCCATTTTTGCACAGCACTGATATTATCTGCATACTTCAACCATTTGAATATCACTAAGGGTCACATGCAGGAGACTGCCTGGTCAAAACAAACACACTAATCATACCATCTTTGGTAAAGTGTCTCCCATGACTGAGTGTGGCAATAAGCAAACTGTTGCCTTGGTTTCCCGTGTGACCATTGGTCTTGTCAAAACACCAGATTGTGTGGCCTGGAACAATATCTTCATCAACTGTTTCTTTTCTGGCCTTACCTTGCTCTCAGGTTCTCAGTTTTGTCATATGTAAAAAGTTATAATAACCCTTTCCAACCAATTTCTCATCTCGCTCCTGCCATACACCTCTCCAAAATGCATTTTCATTCCATTATCAAACCACAAGATAGTATAGTAATCAACCACAGGCTGCAATATCAGCTGAGAGCTTGTGGCTAAAAGAGGTGAGATGTGGCTTGTCTTCCAGAAGGTTCTGGTCTAGTTGGACATGCAGTCTGCTTTCTAAAATCTCTATAAAACGCCAGAGTTCCATTTACCTCTGCCTAAAGAAATTAATTTTTAAATCTTTTCATGGCTGCTATTTTGAGTTTTGTGTACTGTTACTATAAAAAGAAACAGCTCCCTGGGAAAGATTGTTCTCAATGGGACATCAAAGCCACAGTTGGAATGAGTAACAGTGGAAGGCAATAAAACCAAGATAATTGGTGCTAAAGCTGTTAATCTGTCGTCCTATTGTCGGGAACAATCACAGGAACAAAAACATCGGAAACCGGCACTACGATAGTTAGTGAAAGAGAAAAGTACTTTCTCCACAGTGACGGGAGTTAATTCCTTGTGCTTCCACTATTAGATTACTATTATGCATGCATGTGATTTACTATGGTGAATTCTTATATACTCCATTTTACTGTTCACCATACAAACACACACTAAATGCGAGATCTGGCATCGCGAAATACGCACGCTTGCTTTTTTCCCGTTAAAACGGTGTCAAATTTGTGTCAGATGTTTTCTTTCGTGTGCAAAGCTAAGTATCTGTTCTTCTGCTCCATTAGACCCACTGAACATAATGCAAGACTGGATCCCGTTTTCTTTGCGCCCATGAGCAGGCATTGTCAACACTGCCTTCTCCTCCATCATCTTCTTCGCAAAGTAACAGTTTCAATTCGTTGTGTTCATTAGCCCCACAGCATGAGAAATGGGGGTAGGTAAGTTATGGCACTCATGAAGGACAGCTGTGCAAAGTTACAGTGGGAACCCCTCCCAAGAACAGAATTCAACCCCTGAAAATGGGACACCTCACTAATATGGACACTTTCTTCCTGTCCCATTGGTGTCTGGATTGGAGGGATTCCACTGTATGCCTCGTGCCTTCCACACAAGCACATGTGTGGGTAAACAAATAGATCTCTCTGCAGCCTAAAATGTAGCCACAGATCGAACACGTGCTTCGGATGTTGGCTGGTGTCAAGGTGGAGTAGACATGTGACCTCATTAGACAGTTTACTTCCAAATGATATCAGATGGGAACTATGCCAATTGCATTCCTAAACCCCCAGGCACCTAATTAACACTTTGACCTTAGAGCCACAGTGTATAAACATGTACATAGCAACAAGATGAACTTGATTAACCTACTGGCCTAATACAGAGCAACTTCTATATAGTGCCCATATGTACTTATTTCAGGAGATAATGCAAGAACTGTTCTTGGGGATATATAGGAAAGGTGGTCCCTATCAGACATGTCTCCTCATTTGAGGGGTGCCCTTAGAGAGGGGTTCCACTATATATCACTCCATACATCTATTCACATGCTCCATCTGTCCCTATTGATGGTAGTTTGGCAGCCTCGGTGCAAATCAATGGACATTGTTCTTTGTGATAGTGTGGGAATTAATTCTCTAATAGATACACACCCCTCGGTTGTTAGGCTCTGACGACAGACACACATACATCCCATGTTTACATGCCTAGACGTAGTACACTGTATTATCGTGTCAGTGTGTATGTGAGATAATGGCATGTCAGACACTAGCTACTGCATATTATGAAGTATGTATACATGCCTAGACGTAGTACACTGTATCATCGTGTCAGTGTGTATGTGAGATAATGGCATGTCAGACACTAGCTACTGCATATTATGAAGTATGTATACATGCCTAGACGTAGTACACTGTATCATCGTGTCAGTGTGTATGTGAGATAATGGCATGTCAGACACTAGCTACTGCATATTATGAAGTATGTATACATGCCTAGACGTAGTACACTGTATCATCGTGTCAGTGTGTATGTGAGATAATGGCATGTCAGACGCTAGCTACTGCATATTATGAAGTATGTATACATGTGCACCTGTGTTTGAATCAGCAAGATATTATATATAATGATATAATTATAGTTTCCTTTATATTAGATTTATATCCTTCACACTCTTGTCTCCAAATTACTGGATGAGGCATGCATCGTATTTTTAGCGAGAAGTTCTCTCTATTTTTAGCATATTTAAAATTAGAATGACGTATAATAATACGCCAAGTGTGGCAGTTCCCGTACATAATTATAATAGAAAAAGTTTGCATTCAGACGAGTAAAAGTGCTCGTTTCCTCCGCCAATAATATAGCACGAAATCTAGACTTCAGTTTTGTCCAGCCAGCAAGTAAATATATACTATATAAGGTCACAGATACAGACAGTGACTTATAAACAACAAACACTGGTCTCTATATATACAATGAAACAGGAAACAA